TCTTTGCGCAACCGTGGTACGAGTGCCATGATCACAATGGCGTTGCGTGGCCAACGCATCTCGCTATCGATTACCGTTTCCTCCGCGTCCTCTTCCTTAGTTGTGTTTTGGGCGGACTTCTATGTGTGATCGCAGCGTTCGGGGAGGAGATGTGTGGCGGCATGCATGATCAGACTTAGGCGCACTGCGCAACAAACGAAGCTCGGTGAGCGTAGTGGAGCGGAACATGAGCGCCAGAGGCACAGACAGAGAATCGATTCCGAGAGGCCACGAAGTATACGCTCACCAAGCTGGGGAGCCTCACGCTATGCAAACATGAGACGGGGTCTGTTGCGTTATGTGAGCCTCCTCCTTCTCTTCTTCTTCCGATGCCGCTCCCGTTCCCTCGCGCTGCCTTTGTTGGGGCTCCCTGGGAGGCTCACGCCACCACGGCTGGACTCGCCTTGACCCTTGGAGAGGTCGGGGAAGTATCGGTATCGGTACAAGTTGTCGTTTGTTGCCAAAGGTGTTTTTTGCGCAACGTGCCCCCAGAATCTGCGGAGAGGCCCCCAGGGCCTCCAGAGCACCCCCTCTCAAGGCCCAGGGGGGCCTCCAGGACTCCAAGATGGCTCGAAACACGGGGGGCACCCTGGGCCAGGGGCACTGCTGGCAACCTTCGGGTTTTGGGTTCCCCCAGGCCCTTCGAGCAGGCGGCCGCCTGGGTCGGGGGCGACGGGGAGGTCCCTCGCGCGGCGCCCTGGTGGCAGTGCGCCGAGGCGCTCGCCGACGTCACCGAGGAGGAGGAGGCCGTGCTGCGCTACATCGAGAGGAGCGTCGCGGAGTTCGACGACGGCGTGGCGCCCGCAGACTTATGTTGGGCATGCCCCTCTACAGGAGGAATATTCAAAAATAGTTTAAACATCGATTGAACTTATTTTGTGAATGGCATTTTTTGACCATGTTTTAACTGTCCTCGAAAATCCGCCTGCAGGAGGACACGCCCGACCTAACCGCAGACGGCTCGGGGCCCTGGTCCATGCGGGGCCTCGGCGCGGCGGCGGCCATGGGCGTGGAGCAGCTCTCGTTCACTTCCTCCCGCTACCACCTAGCCTTCTGCGGCTACGCGGCCGCCAGCGTGCTCATGCGGTGCCCCGCCTACACGGTGCGCCTGCGCAGGATTTTGCGCCAGGTGGCTCCTCCTCCTCCTCCTCCTCCTTCTCCTCCTCTTCCTCTCCCTCCTCCTCCTCCTCCTCCTCTTCCTCCTCCTCCTCCTCCTCCTCCTCCTGCGCCAGGTGATAGAGGCCATGCTGGCGCACCGGACCTGGGGATACATGGGAGCCTACTGGCCGGGCCCGGGCACGCAGTCCAGGCCCTTCGGCTGCGAGGAGAACGTGATGTGGACGGGCCACCTGCTGCAGTTGGTGACCAGTATCGTTTTACCGATCCATGTCCCCGTCCCCATCCCCATTCCGAGTCCCACCATCCCACCACCCCAGTTGAGGATATACCCCTCGAAGCCCGAAGGGGACAGTCTATGTCCCCATCTAGGGGGTGAATCGGCGAGTGTGGCCGAGGCCACGCCAGTGGGGATATGGATCGGTTAATTAAACGATGCTCAGGTAACCATGTACGAGGCGCTCACCGGCGACCCGTCGTACCGCCGACCCGGAGGCATTGTTGCGCGGGATGCCGCTGGCGCGCCAGCGGATGCTACCGACACGGTAGCTCTGGCGGAGCTGTGCGCGCGCGCCATGCGGCAGAACGTGGTCGGCGGCATGTGTTGCGAGCCTGGGCTGGTCTTCTTCCAGTGCCAGAACCACTGCCATTTGGGCTTCCGTCTTCTCGAGGGGATCGTGCGCGCTCGGGGCTCCGCGGATGGGTGCCTGGGAACCCCAGACATCACATACTCCGCGGAGACGGAGAGATGGGAGAGATTCGCGCTGCAGAACCTCGCCGCCCCCATGAGGACCGGCGCCTTCAAGGTGGCCATGGTCGCGGACAAGAGCTCCGCTGGCGTCCAGATACCCTTCGGCCACCCGGGCAGCGACGGCTGGTGCCTCGCCTGGTACTTCCCTTGGGCCCGCAGCGCGGGCACGCCCAGTGCGATTTGGTGGAGCGTCGTGCAGCCGCAGCTTGCCAGCTACGGCTACTCCTTCTCGGCCGGCCCAGCCCCTGCCCGAGGCTGCGCGCCCAGCGCAGGCAGCCGCTGCGGCTGCAGCGCTGGGAAGGGTGCCGCCGCGAGGGGCGGCCGCCGCGAGAGTCCCGGGGCGAACGACTGCTGCCTGACGCTGGACATCCCGCCAGGGGCCTGGATGGCGCAGCTGCTGCCCGCGGCCGCGCAGGCCGGCGACCTCGACAGCTTCGCGCGCCTGCGCGCCTCGCTGCTGCGCGCGCACGGCGACGAGCGGCGAACGGCCCACGGGGAGCGCGAGCTGCGCCTGCGCGTGGGCCCCGAGTGGTCCACGGGCTCCACGGCCAACTTCCTCCTGGGCCTCGCCTCGGCCGCGGCCCCAGGGCTCCTCCGCCGGCTCGCGCTCGAGGGCCCGGCGCCAGAGCCGTGGTGCACGCCGGAGCTGAGAGCGGTGGCCCCGGCGGCGGTGGGCGTCTTCCGCGCCCGCGTGGAGCCGAACGCCGGCGGCGTTGACGTCGTGCTCGGCCTCCTCGTGCCCGCGGGCGTGGGCACCGTCGAGCTGCGGCTCGCGCGCGCGGGGGAGGTCGTGGGTGTCGCGGTGGCCCGTGCCGAAGGTCTCGAGGTGCGGTCCACCTCCGCGGAGGGCCTGCCGGCCGGGGAGGCCACCGTGGTGATGAGCCTTGCGGCCTCCGCGGCCGGCGGGCACGGCCGCTTGGAGCTGAGGGTGGCCGTGCGCACCGCCAGTGGTGCGGGGGCGCGCGGCCTGGGCGCCACGCTGCAGGAAGCGGCGCGGCCGCCTGCACCGCGCGCTGCCGCGCCGCCGCCCGCGCGGGCGGCGCCCAGCCTGCCGCCGCGGCGGAGGGGGCGGCGGCTGGCCGCGAGGCAGTGGCTGCGCCGGGCGGCCGTCGCGTCTATGGTGTGGCTGCCCTGGACGGTGCTGGTGCTGCTGGCGCTGGACGTCGCGAGGAGCCGCCTGGCCAGGCGGAGGGGCGCTGAGAGCAGCACGCCTCCGGCGAGGGCGTCGCGGGCGGCCCTGTGGAGGATGGCGCGGCCGTGGAGCCTCCCTCTGTCCGCTCTACTCGTGCTGGCAGGCGCGCTCGGGGCGGAGGGCGGCGCGTGGTGGTTCCAGCCTCGCGCGCGCTGGCAGGTGTGCCTCTGCGCGGGCCTGGCGATGCTCATAAGTTCGTGCAGCTTCATGGCGAACGACTACTTCGACTTCGTCGGCGCGGTCGACACGGAGCAGACGCAGCGCAGGCGGCCGCTGGTGAAGGGAGAGGTCACCCCCAGGGAGGTGAAGGTCGCCCTGAAGCGCCTGTACTTCCTGCTGCTGATGGGCATCTGCCTGCTGGAGGCGCGGGCCCTCCGCGTTTACGTGCTGGTCAACGCGACGCTCGCATACGTGTACACGAAGTCCCTGAAGCCGCGAAGCTTCGCGCTCAAGAACGGCTGCGCGGCGGGCGTGCGCTCGCTGGCCATCGGCCTCGGCGCGCTCGCCGCGGCGCCGCCCGGCCCCGACGCGCTGGGCCGCGGCCTGGCCGCGGTGTGGCCCGCGGTGGCGGCGGCGTTCTTCGGGGCCCTGGCGCGGGAGGTGATGATGGACGTCAGGGACGAGGAGCCGACGGAGGCATCCGCGTACATCACCGCCGTGCTTGGCCCAGGGGCACCTGGGGCCCAAGGGTGGTGTACAGTGGGGGCCCACGCCAAGAAACACCCTGCTTGCCTCCAGGGTGCCCTGGGTTTCTTGGGTTTCATGCGGCTGTGGTAAGAAAGCGTGACGTTCCCACACCACAAGTCAGTGGACGTCCTGGGGTCTCAGGGTTTTGGGTTTCTTGTGGAAGGCTTCTTGTGGACTAGCCTCGACTGATGGACCCTCCTGGCCTCGGACAGGAGGGCGCCTGCGCCATGCCAGGGCCAGGATAGGTCGGCGGTGGTGTATATACGGCAGGTTCGCGTCGTGTCAACTGGCGGCGACCCTGCCGCTGGCGCTCAACGTTGAATGCCACCGGCGACCCAGAATTGGTCGATGCTGAACGATCTGGCGTTTCGGTATGGCCGATCGCTCAAGGTTGAACGATCCAGCGCGGTGTCAGAAACCAGCGCCGAAGTCGTCACGACTGGAATCTGCTGTAGATGCCTCCTGCGTCAGGACGAGGACGCCTCGGTGGGGCTGGACACCTTGCCGCTCAGGAACTCGGTATCGCCCCCGCCCCCACCCATCCCTACCCCGCGCCCGACGATCTCAGCACCATGGGTTGGGGATGTGCCCCTCGAAGCCCAAAGGAACCGACCTACATCTAGGGGAAGGAACAGTGGCCAGTGGCATAAACATAAAAATGCGGAGGTCCCCCTCCCTGGCGCGCGGGGCGCGCCAGGGGCGGGGCCAGAGGCGCCGCCAGGGATGCGGAATCCGCGCGGTCCTCCGAGTCTCTATGCCATCTTTCGTTCCCCTGCCCAGACCCCCGACGCAGTGATTTTGTTCGCAACGTCGACAACCAGAGGTCTGGATCCCTTCCCCGAGACCAGCCTCTCATCCGGAGTCGTTTTTTGGCGGCTCCAGGGCGTGGCAAGGGCCCCCAGAGGCCGAGAGTAGCGAACAACCTCACGTCGCTATTTGTTTCACAGCGCGATGGGGGTCTGGGCATACATCCCCCTCTGGGGCGGTAGATCGGCCAGCGGGGTACAGTCAACCAGCATAGTAAGGATGGGCAGCCTTCGCTGGCCAACTTCGCTCGAAAAACGTCCACATGGGCCTCCAGGTCAAAGGCCCTTGCATCCTTACCGCGCATCCTTGCGACCAGGAGGAGGACGAGGACGAGGACGAGGACGAGGGGGAGGAGGAGGGGGAGGGGGAAGAGGAGGAGGAGGAGGAGGAGGAGGAGGAGGAGGGGTTGGCGGAGGCCGGCGGCTGATGCAGAGGGGGAAGCGGAGAGGAGGAGGGAAGAGGAGCAGGAGAAAGAGAAGGAGGAGGAGGAGGAGGAGGCGGCAGAGGCGGAGGAGGAGGAGGCAGGAGGAGGGGAGGAGGAGGAGGAGGACGAGGGAAGTGGAGGAGGAGGGGAGGAGGAAGGGAGGAGGAGGGAGGAGGAGGAGGGGGAGTGGGAGAGGGAAGGGTTGGGGAAGGGCGAGGAGGAGGAGGAGAAGGAGGAGGAGGACGGGCTGGAGGAGGGGTCAGGAGGGGCCCGTTGATTGCAGGGGTCGGTTCCACGCGGCGCAGGATCGGCGCGCCCCGCGCCCTGGGCCTCGCGCGCGCGATGCTGGCGCCCGTGGCGGCGCTGCAGCTGCTCGCCGGCGCGGCCCGCCCTGCGGGCGCCCGCTGGGCGGCGGTGCCGCAGTGGGGCCCAGACGTCATCGCGTCCCCCAAAAACAATCACGACGGGAGGTTCTTCGCTCCTCGTCCTCCTCGTCGTCCTCCTCCTCCATCCTCCCTCATCCTCCTCTTCCTCCTCCTCCTTCCCCTCCTCCTCTTCCTCCTTCTCCGACTTCTCCTCCTCTTCCCTCCCCTGCTCCTCCTACTCCTCCTCCTTCTCCTCCTCCTTTCCCCTCCTCCTGCTACTCCTCCTCCTTCTCCTCCTTCTCTTCCTCCTCCTCCTCCTTCTCCTCCATCTTCTCTTTCTCCTGCTCCTCTTCCCTCCATCTCCTGCTCCTCTCCCTCGGGTCCCGTGTAAGGGGTCCGGACCTCTGGGGTCGACGTCATGACAAAAGTCACGACGTCGGGGGTGCGGGGGGCAGGGGGAGGGGGGATTCGGAAGGCTTCCCCCCTCACCCTTGCCCCCTTCTGCGCGCCGCCAGAGAAGGGCCCAGGGGGAGTAGCACCCCCTTCGGAAACTTTTGCTCGGCGCGTCGTTCCGCCAGCTCTTTCGGCAGCAGATCGACAGGCGTCGACTCGCAAGGGCCAAGAGGATGGCATGGGAGGCTCCCATGCGTTTCCGGCTCACCACGCCTCGGTGCGACACGATAGTTGTCCATTGCTGCCCCCGGGCGTGCACGAGCCGAGCTTTTCCCTGCCCCCCACCCCGCGAAGCGGAGCGACACGCCATCCGCTTGCAGGGCATATAGCGTGCCGCCGGGCTGGGGCCGCGACGCGCTGAGCAAGAGTGTCCGACCGTACATGTATGACGTGAGCGGCGCCCGTGGGCACCTTACCATAATTGGACTCCCTTCAGGCCCCACTCCGGCGTGCTACGGTGTCCGGCCTCGAGGACGGAAGAGAGAGGCGCTGTGGTGGCTGTTCCCAGTTCAGCCTCACCTCCCCCTGCGCCTCGGTCTCACCTTCCTTGTCCCATTGCTTCTCCGGCTCGCGGGGCCCTGGAGTTACTTGGCGCGCTGGCCGCGGGCGCGCGCGAACCCCCGTAAAAGGGAAGAGAATGTGCTCTTTTGTTTGTCTCCGTATCTCTCTCTTTCTCTCTCTCTCTCTCTTTCTCTCTCTCTCTCTCTCTCTCTCTCAGCACGGGCCCCCTTATTCGTACTTCGTGTCTCCCTGCTTTCGATACAGTTGCTCCCGTACATCCCACGGGCGCCGCACCATTCCTGATTCCAGGATCAGCGACGCATCGGGAGACGCCCATCGCGGCACGGTGCGCACAGGTCGCCCTTCGGATGCACGCAGGGGCTCCCATCGCCAGTCTCGCCGGCCGCGAGGCCTCCCGGCGGATGCGTGTGCTGCGCGCCCTGGCCCCGGCCATCGGACATCTTGGCTGTTCCAGCGAAATCGGGAGCGTTTTGGCCCCTGCGCCGGCCGCCCCGTCCTTGTTTTCCTTCGGCCACGTCCTTCCCCTCTCCTCCTCTTGCATGGTGGCACAATTCGCTCACATGGCATCCCCGCTGGCGCCTCTCATCGCCAGCGCAGTCACCCTCTGTCTAGCCGTCGACGCCAACATCGCCACTGGCATCCCGGCCCGTCGCCCCAGGGCAGGTTTTTCCTCGCGCGCCGCTCGTTGGACGGCCCAGGGGCCCGGCGACGGGATGGGAGCTTCTGGCCTGCCGCCAAGATGTGTTTCTCCACGCGCGCATACCTGGGGGGGCTGCCCGCCCTTGTTGTTGCCACCGCCGAGGTGTGGTCAGGCTCCGAAGCCGCACAGACAGCCCCCCTTAGGTGGCTTCAACAAGCCCCCCGAAAACTCGCGGCTGGCTTCAGCGGGCCCCGTCGACTTGTCCAGGGCGGTGACACCCTGGCGTGGGGTGTTGAGACCGCCCTGGACTATTCGGGGGGCCTGTTGAGCAGATGGGGTTATTCGGGGGGTTTCAGGCCAGCTGGGAGTACTCGGGGGACCTGTTGAGGACACCTGGGTTCATTTTTGGGCGGCTGTCTGTGCGCAGGCCGACCCTGAGATCCGGCGGCGCGAAAGAAATGGAGACATCGCGAAACATCGCCACCAAAGGCCCCATCTTCCTGCTTCACTTCTCGAACCGCCTCGGTCCGTGAGGGCCCCCGGCTGGCCCGCAGCCAGGCGACGCGCACCCGGCTTGCAAGACACCAGCATCGCGACGCCAGGCTGTCAGGGCCTGCGCGCCGCCCGGAGCCTTGCCGCCGAGGTGTTGGCCGGCTCGGGGGCGCTGGCGGCGCTGGCGGCGCAGGCGGGCTGCGAGGGCGCGCGGGGTCGGCGCGGGCTTCGGCGGGCCATCCGCCTCCTGCCGTGGCCGCTGGGCGTCGTCGTGGCCCACGTGCTGGCCGGCCGCGCGGCGCCCTGAGGGGGCGGGGGGCGGCCGCGGTGGGCCGTCGACGTGCCCGAGCCGTGGCGCCTCGGCCTGCCAGGTGTCAAAAATGCCCCAGTGTCGACACCAAGTTTGGAGGGCCAAGCCTGACATCTGGGGCCGAGACCGAGTATCGCTCTCACGTCCTAGCCAGAAGCGTTTACGGACACATTGGGTGTCGTGACGTCCGCATGCATTTTCGGGGTGGATACGTCTATGGACAACGTGGCCGTTGCGTTCGGTGCAGTGTTCCTACGGTATGTTTCTTTTCTAGAGCAGGTCCCACATGGCATTCCAAGTCCGAACATGACAAGGTAGTCTTTGACGTCAGGTCGGATCCGCCACAACAAATGTACAAATGCACCCTCCAATGATGTGTTCCTGGGTCTCAGGGGAGGGTGGCGGCATATACACATTACGGCTGAGGGCCAGCGATGTCATACACCGCTACCCTCCCTGAAGGTACATGCAAAGTGCTTCGCAGGGTTTCGGTGTGTATATCTTCGTGGAGTATAAGAACACCTTTGGGCCGAAACATGCCTGGGGAAAACCAAGCACAACAACAACAGTCACAACAACAGTCACAACAACAGCAGGATAGCATCACAGCCACAACAACAGTGTAAAGAGCAGTAAGAGCAGCAACATCGAGGACTGCAGCACGTCGAGTAAGCAGAGAGCCTCATCCTCACAGCCCGGCTTCGCTCGGACGTGTGCGCTCGTCTCGGCGAGGTCAGCGCTGGGAACCCATGGACCACCTGGGAGCAGCTCGGAGCCCCTCGCGAAGCACGAGGCGACACGGCACTGCAAGAACGCACGGGAAATGGACCTCCCGACGATGCCACGATACAGTTTCGAAGGACGGGGGAACTTCTGGGATCGGCGCTGGGCCCCCCCCCCTTGGCGGCGCCTCAGGCGCCGCCCCTGGCGAACTCCGCGCGCCAGGGAGAGGGGGGTCCAGCGAGACATCCGCGCGGACCTGCAACAGTTTATGATGGGCCTGTTTTCCACCACCACCACCATAAGTTGGAGTGGGAAGGGGGTCCTCCTCCCCCTCTTCTTCCTCCTCCTCCTCCTCATCATCATCATCCTCCTTCTCCTCGTACTCATCCTTCACTTCCTTTCCCCTTCCAACTTATGGTGGTGGTGGTGGTGGAAAACAGGCCCATCATCTTATGTTTGTGCAGTGGTGCGCTCTTCTGGTGAGGCCCCGGGGCCGTCGTCGGCCTGCTCAGAGACTGCCGATCGCGCTCTCTCTTTCTCTCTCGTTCTCTCGGTATCTTTCTCTGCTTCCTTCTCTCTGTCTGTCTGTCTGTCTTGTCTTGTCTTGTCTGTCGGTCTGCCTTGTCTTGTCTGTCTGTCTGTCTTGTCTCTCTCCCTCTCTCTCTCTCTTTCTCTCCCTCGCTCAGAGCCCAGCATCGGTGGCGAGCCCGGGGGGAAGTGATAAGGGGTGGGCATTCTCAGAAGGCTCGGAAATCCCCTGGCCTTCTGGGAAGTTTTCTAAGCCTTCCCAGAAGAAACATAACATTTCTCAGAAGGCCGGAGGGCTTCTGGGAAGCCCTCCCGCCGCCCCCGCCTTCTAATGATGCCTTCTCCTTCTCACTTCCCCCCTCGCTCGCCGCCTACAGCAGGTCGAGACTGGCTGCCCGAGTATACCCCGTGACACGCACTGAGCGGGCAGTCGGCCAGGCGGGTGGCGGGAGGAGGAGCAGCACCAGCTGCGCAAGCAGGCAGCGGCAGCGCCGGCAGGAGGGTTCAGGAGCAGCGTATTCCAAGGAGAAGCACAAGCAGCAGGCCAGGAGGAGGAGAGGAGGAGGAGGAGGAAGGAGGAGGAAGAGGAGGACTGGGACAAAAGCCCCCGCTACTGAAGTCCGCCTAACGTCAAAAAGAACTGGGACGAGAGAGCACGAGCAAGAGCACCACCACTGGGACGAGAGGAGAGGTGGGCAGGGTGGACGAGGAGGGCGGGGATGACGCAGAAATGGCGGATGAGAAGCAGGAGAAGGGGGGTTTGGAGTAGCAGCAACACAGCAGCAGCAGCAGCAGCAGCAGGAGCTGCAGCAGCAGCAGTAGCGCCATCGGCGTAAACACAGGCAGCCACCAGAGATTGCAAAGCATAATCCAGAGGAGCATGAGCAGCCCAACAGCACAGCAAAAGTATCCCAGTGCGACCCTACCTAGCAGTTGGAGGATCTGGGAACGCAACATCTATATGAAGCTAAGTTAAGCTAAGATGAAGCTAAGCTAAGATGCAATAAGCTAAGCTAAGATGAGATAAGCAACGCTAAGCTAAGGGGACATAACTAGGGGAACCGCGGGGCGGATACTGGGGGAACCGCCCGGGGCGAGTTGCACTGCCAAGCCCTTTAAGCATACCGAGTAAGAACCCTTCTAGGCAGAGCCTAGGTAGGGAATCAACACTATGCCGATGAATGTAATGGCTAGGGACACGCAAACGACTACACATCTACGCCATCACGGCGCCACAAACCAGGGGGTTCGTTCGGGCTGCTCCATTGGCCCAAAGACCCCCCCAGCACCGGGGCGATCACTACGGTCGTTATCCTTTGTGGGTGCGCCAACAAGGCGCCACAAACCAGGAGGGGTGTTCGGGCTGTTCCTTTGGCCCGAAGGACCCCCCCAAACTGGTGTCCACCACCATGCGCACTGTAGCCTACGTAGGCGCCCTTGTCGGTTGTCGGTTGCGCCATCAAGGTGCCACACACTACCTCGGCAACCGTGGCTCACGACGGCCCCGCTCACGGGGGTTATTCGGGCTGTTCCCTTAGCCCCAAGGATCCCCCCAAACGGAGTCCACCACCATGTGCACTGTAGTCTGCGCAGGCGCCCCCGTTGTTTGTGGGTTGCGCCATCAAGGCTCCACACACCACCAGGGACGCGTTGTCTCCTGACGGCCCCGCCGTTGGATGCGTAAGAGCGTCGTCAAGGAACCGCCAGTCAGGTGGTTTGTTCGGGCTATTCCCTTGGCCCGAAGAACCCCCCTCCACCGCACCAGAGCTCCCACCATGAGCGGCCATTTTCTGTTCTGGATGCACCAACAAGGCGCCACAAACCAGGGGGGGTGTTCGGGCTTTTCCTCTGGCCCGAAGGACCCCCCCCCCCAAACGGTGGACACCACTGTGTACACTGTAGCCTATGTAGGCGCCATTGTCGGTTGTCGGTTGCTTGCGTCCTCAAGGCGCCACACACCACCATGGCAACCTCAGGGTAACGATCGGTTCGTCTTCTGCTCTTCGTTTTCTTCGCTGGTCTTTGTCAGGCACCCGTGCATCATTGGTTTACCTTTCAGGGGGTCGGGTCCTTATCTTTCGGCTTTCGGAGGCCTCTGCAAGAGGTGGTGGCCAAAAGGAAAAGCTGCCGCGCCCTGCCCCTCCAGGGGTCCACGGGCGGGCACGAACAGCCGGCCCATCAGAGCCGAGCCCGAATTCCCGCTGCGCCACCACCGCCGACGCCTTTGACCTTCTGGTGCGCTGTAAGCCACTAACGCCCAGTGGGTTAGCAGGTGTATTTTGGCTTCTGGAGACCTCATGGGCTCCAGGGTGTTCTTGGTGTTCTGTTCAAGTTGTGTTTGCCTGTCGCGTGATCGCGTTGGTGCCGGTTGCGCAGTGTGCTCTCGTCCTCTAGGGTGCGGCACCGCTTCGTGACATTCTTTACAGCTTCCACTCGCAAGCCTCAGCTATCCCACGTGACGGGATTATTCATTTGTACTCAGCTGTGGCACGGAGCAAACTCATTCATCATCCTTCGGCAACTGCTATCCCACTTGGTGGGCTTGCCCGCGTCTGTGCGGGCAGGTCCCCCCTGTCAACCGTAGGGTCGGCATTGACCGTGGCAACCTGAACGGTCGCTGTCCAAGTGGCTTCACCCTTAACTTCCTGTGGGGTGAGTTGTGAGGGAAGCGCTCACATACGGCCCTGGACGTTTCCCATGAGAGTATTCTTCGCACCGCACACAGAAACTTTAACATTATTGGGACAGGTTTGCCAGAGGTCGACATCCCAACTCGAAAGTTGGCTTGGCCTTTTGCCTTGACGCCTGTCTCCCCGCTCTGGCCTCTTTTCACTTTAGTGTTCACTTGGTCTTTTGCGGTCTGTGGAAAGCATGTTTCGTCCCATCCTGCGGCTGTTTGCGCAATCTCCGGATCGGTTCACTCCGCGGGGCTGGTGGCCCATACCGACCGAGGTCCCCGCAGGGATGTTTGGTAGCATGTACGCGTGTGGGTATGCTGCTCTCACACCAGCCCCATGGGGGGTATTCCGCCCTCCCCGGAGGCAGCCTCCCAGCGACCGCGTTTTGATCTTTTTTGTTTGTTCCTCTCTCTCTCTGGAGGGAATGAGAGGAAGTAGGAGGAGGGGGCTTTGGACACCGCACTCACACGTACATTTCAGGAACGCGTGCGGGCACGTAATTGTCCGCCGGACAATTCGGCGTGCTGACCACACCAGAGGGCTCATTTACCAGAGCGTGGAGCACGCACGTTCCGCATTGCGAGGGGCGCGTTCGCATACGGCCCCGGCCTTTTCCCATTGCGAGTACCTATCGCACCACACAAACTCAGGTTTTTAAGGATGAGACTTCCAAGCTGTCGTGGATCGCCGAACTCCGAGAGTCGCCTTATCCTTACAGATGGGCTTAGGCGCCCTGAAGCCTATTGCGTACTTGGCAGTTATCCACTCACCGTCATCTCCTGCATCTTGTCATCATTTCTGCTCCTTCTCATCCGTTCCCTCCTCTTCCTCCTCCTCCTCCTCCTCCTCCTCCCCCTCCTCCTCCTCCTCCTCCTCCTTCTACCCTCTCCCCTTGCCCCTCCATCATCTTTCTCCCCCTGCTCCTCTTTCCCTCCCCCTCCTTCCTCCCTGTACCTCCATCCCCTGCTTCCTCCTCCTTCTCTCCTCTTCCCTCGCCTTCCTTCTCCCTCTTCCCCTCCCCGTTCTGCTCCGTCTTCCTTCTCCTTCTCCTCCTCGTCCCTTTCCTCGTCCTCCCAGGCGTCTTGTTCCTTCCTCATCATGCCCTCTCCCTTCCCCTTGGTCTTCCTCACCATGCCTTCACTCTTCCTCCGCATGCCTTCACTCCCTCTGTCCTCCCCCTCCTCCTTCCTCTCCCCTCCCCTTCCTCCTTCCTCCTCCCCTCGTTCCTCCTCCCCTCCTTCTCCCCACTCCGTCCCCCCCTCCTCCTTCAACCCCCTCCCTCTGCCCCTCCCCTCTTCCTTCGTCCCCATGCCTTCGCTCCCTCGTTCCTCATCCCCTTCTCCAACCGCTGCGAGGGTATACCTGCTCCGAGCGAGGCTTGGGCTCCGTCTCGAGACGGGTGTGCTCGCGTCACCTGTGTCCGTCGCCGTCTCCGTCGGGCTCCAGCTGCACCCGTCGCCCTCTCCTTCTGGCTCGGCAGAGGGTTCCAACGAGTTGCTCCTCTTCCTCCATATCTCCTCCTCCTCCTCCGCCTCCTCCTCCTCTTCCTCCCCCTCCTCTCTCCTCCTTCTCCTTCTCCTTCTCCTCCTCTCCTCCTCCTCTGTTTCTCCTGCTCCTCCTCCTCCTCCTCCTCCTCCTCCTCCTCCTCCTCCTCATCTCCCTCCTCCTCCTCCCCTCCTCGTCCTCGTCCTCCTCCTCCTCCTCCTCCTCCTCCTCCTCTCCTTCTCCTCCCCCTCGTCTTCCTCATCCTCCCCCTCCGTACATTGTACGTCTCAGGTATATTTCCAGGTGATCCCTCTTCCTCTCCTTTTCCTTTCCTCCTCCCCTCCTCCTCCTCCTCCTCCTCTTCCTCCTCCTTCCCCTTCTCCTCGTCGTCCTCCTCCTCCTCCTCCTCCCTTCTCCTCTGCCTCCTCCCCCCCCTCCTCCTCAGGTCATGGCCGCCCTGGGCTGCCCCAGGAGGACCTTCCTGCTCCTGCCGCCCCCGGTCCCGCCACCGCCCGCGCTGCTGTTGCAGGCCTGCGCGCGGTGGCGGCTGAGGCCCCCCCCCCTTGCGGTGCCGCTACGCCGCCCAGCCTTCGCCGTCGCCTCGGGGGGAAAGAAAGAGAGGAGGAGGAGGAGGAGGAGGAGGAGGAGGAGGAGGAGGAGGAGGGGGAGGGGGAGGGGGAGGGGAGGAGGAGGAGGAGGAGGAGCAGGAGCAGGAGCAGGAGCAGGAGCAGGAGGAGGAGGAGGAGGAGGAGGAGAAACAAAAATACCAGCGACGAACCCATGATCGTGTTCGTGCTTGTTGTTTTGCCGGTCGGCGCGGGCCTTCGCACCACCACGATTCCTACGGGCAGGCGTCAGCGGCCGCGTCGGAGGGGGGGGGGCATGGACTCAGAGGCGATGCGTCGACCACCGATCGCCCATTTGTCGCCGATCGGGGCCCGATATAGCCCCACTCCGCGCGTGGACGCGCGGTCTCGCAATCTGGGGCCCATTGCCGATCCATCGGCAACGGGTCGCCCGTTGTGATCATTGTCTTACTCGTTGTTTTGCCGACAGGCGCGGAGGGCGCGAGGGGGCGGGCCCTCCCAGAAGGCTCGGAGGACCCCTGGCCCTCGGAGAAGTGTTCGAAGCCTTCCCCGAGCACGCAGGGATCCTCTCGGAAAGCGCGCGAGGGCTTCTGAGCAGCCCCTGACCTCCTCGCGCTGCGGGGCAATCATGACGGGAGGTCTCTCGCCAACTTCGGCCTCTGGGGGCCTGACCAGGCCCCGCGGGACCGCCAACAACCGACTCGGGACGAGAAGCCGGTCCGGGGGAAAGGGTCCAGACCTGTGGGGGTGGACGTTGTGAAACAGCCACGGCGTCGGGGTTCCGGGGCCCCGCCGCCTTCTCCGAGAGGGCCTTCTGCCTCTCGCTGGCCCCCCGGGGCGCGCCGCCGGAGTGCGGTGTTCGCAGGCGTGCGTCGGCCCTCGCAAGCATACATTGTGCAGGGCTCGCCGGCGCCTCGTGGCGAGCGCAGACGCTGCGAGCGCACCTGGCGACGAGGCTGCGGTGCACGCACGGGCGCTGCGGTGGTGCCAGGGTTCAGTCGGGCACGTCCCTACGGGAGGAATCTTCCAGAATTGTCAAACAAGTCTCATGGGGACGATTTTTCTTTCTGTGTTTGATGATGTTTGAATGGTTTGAGTATGTTTTATTTTTCGCCCAAAATTCCGCCTGTAGGAGGACATGTCCGACCTACTGCCAGGGGCGTGGCTCGGCGGGGGGTGGTCTTTGCGCTATGCCCCCCGCACGCCTAAACGCCCTCCCACCCGATGGCGCGCGCTTTGGCCATGGATTACAGAGACTCAGAGATGGTATCGTCGTTTCTGGGAGCGCCCGGCAGCTCTGGCAAGTCGAGGGTCAGGGACATGATCATTGTTCCAATGCCTTTGCCAGGGACAACCCCACACGAACCTTGTGGTTTTCATGGTATACCAATGCGCGATGGCGGACTTCAAGTGAATCTGCAATTCACTGCTGAGTGGTGGCGCTTGCGCAACGCAGAAACGAGAGCAGAACAACAGCGAGCGGGAAAGTAGCAGAGCCAAGTTCCTCATGCAGTTCACCTGGGACTGTGATGTCAGCCTGGCGCCCCCACCCCAAGCAACCGCTGTACCCCAGTCGGCAACAGGGTGGACGAGGAACACAGTTGGTGCTAATGCTCCTAATGCTTTCGAGGAGCGCAAGAACCACATCGGAGGTCCGCGCGGACTCCGAACATGTGTGTTGATGCCGTGTTTGGTTCGTCCATGCCTTGTACAGTCCCTGTCGTGTAAATTGGTAGGCCAGCCCGAAATCAGTAAAGTTAGGACAGATGTGAGAAATGTGCCAATCCGAAGTGCAAGTGCGAAGAGGTCGGATACCAAAAGTATGAGAAAAGTATGGTCCAAGCAATTGAGTGTGAAGCATGTATGAGAAAAGTAAGATTTGAACGTCCCTGTTTATTTTCACACCTGACCACATTTGTTTCGCACATGATCCTGTTTTATACTCTACCCACACTTGTCCACACTCGGTGGGCACTGCTGTCACACTTGTCTCGTACTATAGTATAGTAACTATACTTTTACTTGCACTTGCGAATTGCATGCATGTCACCCTCGTACTTGCGGCTCGTATTTGTCTCACACTCATCCTTTCGGCTCGTCTTTGCCTCGCACCCGGACCCTTACTTTTTGTCTACGCAGGATCCGCTGCTCAGAATCTGTCCCCGAACCCCTCTGTAGCCATTTTGGCTCCAGGTGCCGCGCTTGTGCCTTGGACTCTTAGTTGCCCAGCTGCGCTTCGCCGCCTGCCCGCATGAAGAGGCCCGGCAGGCGCCGTTCGCCTGCAGGCGCTGCTGCGCTCGCCGGCGTCGCCGTATGCTCGTGGGCTCTGGCGTGGGAGCGCGGTTGCGTCGGCTTCGCCCCAGCACCAGTCGGCGGCGGGCCACGGGGGGAAGCTGGGGAAACCAAAAGGTACCGATACCGCTACTCCCCGGACCTCTCCCGGAGTGCGTTCTGACCAGGATTTCGGGGCGAATCCAGCGGTGGCGACGAGGGCCTCGCTGGAGGTCCAAAAAAAGGAAAACGGGCGAGGGGGTAGAAGCATGGGTACCTTTTCCTCCTCCGAGAAGCGAGGAGGGGGCGGGCCTTCCCAGACGGCTCGGAAGTCGGCGGGCCTGCTCCGGGAGGCTTCCGAGGCACTCCCCGGAGGCGCAGGAGCGGCAGCTTCTCGGCAGTGGCCCGAGGCCTGGATTCCCTAGGGGAACAATAAGTGACATCAACATAAAAGCTCGGAGCTCCGCGCGCCAGGGAGGGGGGTCCAGCGCCGATCCGAGAAATCCGCGCGGACCTCCGAGTTTGTATGTTTATGCCACTTTCTGTTCCCCTATTCCCGCCCTCTGAGAGGGCCTTCTGCTTCTCGCTCCCCCTCCCTCGCTCGCCGCCGAACCAGGGCTCGGCGCCAGCGTGCAGGGCGTGGCGGCCAGAGGAGCACCCCTCGAGCAGGCGGCCTCCGGCGCCGGGCGCGGCGCCGCCATGCGCGCCGCAGGCACGGAGGAGGCCGCCACGGACGAGGCGAAGCCAACGAAGGAGGAGAAGTAAGTCGGGCATGTCCCTCTACAGGAGGAATGCTAAAAAATGGTCAAGAGTAGTCAGGGGATGCTTTTGTGTGTGTGTGTGTGGGAATGTTAGGCCATTGTTGGGTATTTTGTTTACTTTTTCTTAGTTTCGCCCCAAATCCGCCTGTTGGAGGACATGCCCGACCTAAGAGAAGAAAGATATTGACCCTATCATCGCGCTCGGTGCGCTCATCATCGCCGTGTTCGGTATCGGCGTATTCGTGATTGCCGCGCTCCCGGTTCTTGGGCTTCTCTACAGGGAGTTCTCCGGCGGCAAGTTGCTTTTCGGTGGCGAGAAGTTGGAGATGCCGGCCCTGGAGCAGGCCACCACGCTGTACGAGCTCAACGCGACCGCCCCTCCAGGCACGCGGTGATGCGAGCCCCTCCTCTCCCCTCCCTCACTCCTTCTCCTCCCCCTTCCCCTCCCCCTCCCCCTCCCCCTCCTCCTCCTCCTCCTCCTCCTCCTTCTCCTCCTCCTCCTCCTCCTCCTCCTCCTCCTCCTCTTTCCCATCCTGCTCCTCCTCCTCCTCCTCTCGCCCTCGCGCTCCTCCTCCTCCTCCTGCTCCCTCCCTCCCTCCTTCCCTCCCTCCCTCCCTCCCTTCCTCCTCCCTACCTTCCTCCTCCCTCCCTCCTCCTCCTCCTCCTCCTCCTCCTCCTCCTCCTCCTCCTCCTCTTCCTTCTCCTTCCCTCCCTCCCTCCCTCCCTCCTCCTCCCTCCCTCCCCCCTCCCCTCCCTCCCTCCCTCCCCCCTCCCCTCCCCTCCCCTCCCCTCCCCTCCCCTCCCCTCCCTCGCCTCCCTCCCCCCCCCCCCCCTCTCCCCTCCCCTCCCCTCCCCTCCCCCCTCCTCGTTCGCTCCTCCCTCCCCCCCTCCTCTCCCCCCGTCTCCTCGGCGCGCCGGGGTAGGGGCGACGCTCACATCCCGGCCTCCGCGGCGGCACTGCCTCGGGGGTCATCCGCGGCCTCCGCGACGCTCACATCCCAGCCTCCGCGGCGGCGTCCCGTCTCTTCGGCGGCATTGCCTCGGGGAGCGGCCCCCGCCCCCGCCCCCCCCCCAGCTGCTCGATGGAAAGGAAGAAGAATATTAGTGCGGCCCCCGCCCCCGCCCCCCCCCCCAGTTGCTCGATGGAAAGGAAGAATAATATTAGTAAGAAGAATAAGAAGAATAAGAAGAAGAAGAAGAAGAAGAAAAGAGAAAACGTATAATAACAAGTGTGAAAACAAAAATGCGTAGAAGAAGGAGTAGAAGAAGAATCTGCCCCCGAGTCCCCCAGGGTCCATCCTGTGCGGTAGCAGATCATGGGAGCCTCCTGTGCCCTCCGAGTGTCGTCTTTGGCGCCGATAGGCGTTCGCGTCCGGGGTCTCGGTGAGACAGCTCCGATTCAGCGTCGATGAAGCGTCGATGAGCGTCGCCTCAGCGTCGACCAGCGTCGATTCGCAGGAGCCGACAACATGGCACGGGAGGTCCCGGGGGTCCCTGCTGCTCCAGCCTCCCAGCCCCCCTCGCGCCGCGAAGAAGCCACGTGTATACGGGAGGCCTCTCGCTGTGCTCGGCCTCTGGAGGCCCTCGCCCCCGGCCTCGGGACCAGCAAACCACGCCTCGGGATGGGCATCAGGGGCAACGACAGGAGGGGCCAGGCATAGGGGGGATGCATCGACCCCCAATCGCCCATTGATCGCCGATAGGTGTCCGATAGCCCCAACCTGCCCGGGAGGGTGCGGATTCCGTATCGGAGGCCTATCGCCGATGTGTCGGCGATGTATCGCCGATTCCAGGTCGATACCTCCCCCCCTATCCCTATCCCCCTCTATCGCTGCCCCTCAGAGAAGCCGGTACCAGGGAAGGGGTCCAGACCTCCCCGGGTCGACAGACAGACAGAAGCCATACGCCAGCACGGCGCGTCGGCAGGCAGGCGGATTCTTGTGAGCCCGACCAGACGAGACGGAGCTTTGCCGGCAGTCTCGCAAGGAGAACGAAGGCGTTGGGGATTGCAGGAGGGGGGAGGAGGACGAGGAGGAGAACGAGGGACAAGTGATACTTGCACAAGCTGCCCTACGCTCTGCGTGAGGCCGGCCGACACCGATTACAAACATGAAGCGTGTGGGTGTCGACGTTGTGACCAAACAACACGACTCGGGGGCCTGGGCCCTATCCGCCTCCCCGGGTCCATCCTGACCCAGCTTCTGGAGCGGAACCAGCCATGGCGACGAGAAGCCCCCAGGAGGCCCAAAACATGGACCCCCGACGTCGTGATTGTTTCAAAACGTCGGGGAGGAGGAGGAGGAGGAGGAATATCGTGGGCATGTCCTGAGAAATACCAGCCGCATGATACAGTCACGAGAAACCCCGGGTAGCTCCCGTGCAAACCTTCCCAGACTCCCGACGCAGTGATTTTTTCACAGCGTCGACCCCGCAAGGTCTGGACCACTTCCCCGGGACCGGTTTTTCATCCTGAGTCGTTTTTGACGGTCCGTGGCCTGGTAAGTACAGACTCCCATAGGCCGAGAAGTGGGAAAAAATGGCCGTCGTCATTTTTTGTTCACAACGCGAGGGGGTCTTGGAGCATGGACAACAAAAACACCAGGAAGGGCCTCCGTCGTCCCAGCTGGCTTTCCGCCAGACTCGGTCTCCTGCTGCTGCTGCTGCTGCTGCTGCTGCTGCTGCTGCTCCTCCCCATCGCCTTCTGCCGCGGCGAGGCTGCTGGACATGGAGTCCGTGGTAACGCCCCCCTGGGGCCTGGACTGGTGCTTCTCGTCGCGGGCGCTGCCGCCTCCTCCGCTTTCGTGGGGCGATGGGGGAGGAAGACGGAGGAGGAGGAGGAGGAGGAGGAGGAGGAGGAGGAAGAGGGAGGAGGAGGAAGATGGAGGAGGGAGGAGGAGGAGGAGGAGGAGGAGGAGGAGGAGGAAGGAGCAGAAGGAAGGATGAGGAGGAGGAGGAGGATGAGGCCTGGCGCTCGTGTCCTACATGCCACCTGCGCGCCCCCCGTGGGGTTCAGAAGGGGGGGGCGGCGTCGCCAGTGGAGCCGACCCAATTAACTCTGGCCTCGAGGGAAGCTCTGGAGCCCAGAGGTTCTGGAGCGGCGCGGGTCGGAAGACTCGGGTCGTGAAGCACGAAGACAGACAACAACGAGAATGACATCAGCCAAACCGCATACAGTCGAGGCTGATTCGTAGGTCGACCCTGGCAAATCATGGGTGCCCTTGTGTCCGGTGTTTCGCGACCCGTGCCTTCCTGCAGTCCTGTGGCAATGTGGCCCTCGGAAGGGTCTTGTGTCCTCTCGCATGTCCTCTCCAATCGAGGCTGATTCGTAGGTGCGCCGCAGCGCCGATGCATCGCCGATGCGGCTAGATGTGGATCTCGATTTGCTTCACGTCGACGTCGATGATGCATTGTCGACGTCGACGATGCGTCGCGGGTGCATCCACAATGCATCGCCGATGCATCGGCGATGCATCGCGATCCACCGGTCCCGATCTACTCCGACCCCATCTAGGAGGCCTCTAAGGTCGCGTAGAACGAAGACAGGCAAAAATGAGAATGACATCAGACAAGCTGCACACAGTCAGCACGGGCAGTAAGGGTGAGTGATTTTCCGAGGTTATGCTTGCATCCTTCCTTTACGGCCCATCCTTATCAATTTTCGCTGGCCGCGCCCCCCACGAAAAGTGTCAGCATGATCTTCCAATGCCCTTGCATCCTTATCTTGCGTCCTTCTTATACGGGTCGACTGTGCAGTCGGCAGGGTAGTAAGGATGAGCGATCTCCCAAGGTTGCCCGTGCATCCTTCGCTGTCGGCCGATCTCTGTCCACTTTCGCTGCATGGCCTCCCAAGGCCCTTGCATCTTCACCGTGCGTCCTCACTCTGTGCGTTGACCGCACACATCAACTTTCTGGAGCTCCGCCCAGGGGGGTTCGTGGGCCGGCGCGGATTCGGGTTTCGCGATCGGCGCAGTGCTTCCAGCGCAGATCCAAGAGATCCGCGCGGACCTCCCTCCCTCCCTCCCTCCGAGGAGGGAGGGAGGGAGGGAGGGAGTTCCCGTGTACGGCCGCAGAGCGCACGAACACACCGACAGCGAAAGGCGAGGCCCCGCGAGCGAGGAGCTAGTTGTCCCCGAGGAGGGCCGAGGCCGAACGCACAAAGAGGGCTTCCGGGGCATCGATCCAGCGACATCAAAACGAGGGGTGCGCTCTCTCTCCCCCTCCTCCTCCTCCTCCTCCTCCTCCTCCTCCTCCTCCTCCTCCTCCCCCTCCTCCTGGGGTGGCATGGGGGGGGGCAGAAGCCGATCACACGGAGGGCACCTCAGAGAAGGAGACTGGTAACTGGTACCCATACCGCTACCCGTTCCCTTGGTGTTTCGGCTTTTTGGGCCTCCCGAGAGGTCCTCGTCGCCACCGCTGAATTCGCGTCGAAATCTTGGTCAGAACGCACGCCGGGAGAGGTCGGGGGAGTAGCTGTATCGGTGCCTTCTGGTTTCCCCAACTTCGGGGGACTACACGCCGGTCGTTGAAAGTAGGTATTTTTGGATTCCCAGATCCCAATCTACTTCAAGCGCCTTCCTATTTCAAGAACTGACACGCTTTTGCTGTGTTTTGGATTTTTCTGGGGGGGGTCTGGACCCAGTCAACTTAATCCGCCTTCCTACTTCAGGTTTTCACCTACGTATTCCGACCGACGTGTAAGCGAGCGACAGCAAAACGAGGGGCGCGCAGGGGTGGTATGGGGAGGGGCAGAAGGGGGGAAAGGGGGGCAGGAGGCGGGAGGAGGAAAACGAGACAGCGGAGGAGGAGGCGGAGGACCAGTGCAAACCTCTGCACGGACGAAATGGGCACGGAAAGAATGGGTACAATGCCCAACAGCGGATCCACGCCGCCGCGGCCTGTGTCCATTCGAGACAGGAGGCCGCCTGCCCAACAGCGGCCGTTGTCGGTTTGGGACAACACTTGTTGTTGGGCATTTTACCCCTTCTTTCCGTACCCATTTCGGGCGTCCAAGAAGCCCAAGGCCCACCAAAGATGTTGCACTAAACCCTCCCTCCAAGTTCCCACTTTTCACGTCCCTACAGGGGTTCATTTCTATTATGGGAGGTGCCCCGTCGGAAGACAATTGCACGAGAATCCTCAATGGCGCCATAACGCCGTTCTGGAGACCTCATCACAGCGAATCAATGTGAGTGTTGCGTCTTGACAACCGTAGATAGTGCCAGAGTTCACTTCCTGGGGCTTCAGCACAGCGAATCAATTCGACCGCTGCGCGCTGACAATCCGAAATCGTGCCAGGGCACCATTCCTGGGACTTCTAATAAAACAATACGAGCCCGTGAGGTTGTTGCAAACACTTGCGACGAATGCGGCGCTGAGGCGAGAACCACATTTTGAGAAGGAGCCGACCTTCATCCGTGAAATTGCTGCAAACGTTTTAGAGGAATGTGGGCGGCGCTGAGGCGAGAGAACCATCGTTTGGCAAGGAACCGCTTTTCGTCCGTGAGGCTGTTGCAAGATTGCAGCACGAATGTTCGCGGCGCTGAGGTGAGAGCCACTTCTTGAAGACGGTTCGCCCTCCATTCGCGAACTGGTTGCGATGTTTTGGGACACTGCGCGCGGCGCCAACGGGAGAGCCGCATTTTGGATTCGGCCCGCCCTCCAGCCATGAAGTTGCTGCAGATTTCAAGCTTCAGGATCAGAAGTGGTGAGGACGCTCTCCGGCGAAACGCCCGACCCGCCCTAGCGACACGTCTGTGGGTCCGACAGGGAGGCGTTGTTTGTAAGGCAGAGGGATGGAAGGAGGAAGAAGTGGAGGAGCTAAGGTTGTTTATCAGGCAAGGGGATGGAAGGAGGAAGAAGTGGAGGAGCTAAATGAGAAGGACGAGCTGGAAGAGGACGAGGAGCAGTAGCAAGCAGGAGCACCCACGCAGGAAGAGTAGACGTACCGAGATTCATGGAGGGCCAGGGTCCAGCGGGTCCGCCCTCGCGCTTCTGGTCTACCGTCTGGCCAGACAGGGCAGCTGTCACTCAGCAGTCATCGCAGGCAGCCCTGAGCAGGATCTCCAGTTTTCCTTCTCTGCGAGACGTTGTTGCGCGAGGGTTGTCGATGGATCTGGTTACTCCAGGAGGCAGAGGAACACACACAGACACAATGCATCGTCGATCCCCAGGAACATACGGGAACATGTGGGAAGTGGGGGGGAAGACAGAAGCCCAGGAAATATGGGAAACCATGGGAAAACATTGGAAATATGGGACAACATGGGGAACAGCTTTATTCGTGTGTGTGTCTATTTGTGTGCCCTGGGGCCCCTTCATTCCCGCCCCCCGCCTCCGAGGTCCTCCGCGCGGCACGCTCGCCCTGCGCGCGCCGTGCCCCCCCCTCCCCCCTCTGCTGCCTGCTCGTTCTGCTCCGTGCGGCGTGCGGGCGCCACTGTGCTGCGGGAGCCGGGCGCGGGCTGCTCAAACCGTGGCTGCCAAGGAGGAGGAGGAGGAGGAGGAGGAGGAGGAGGAGGAGGAGGAGGAGGAGGAGGAGTAGCAGGACGAAGGAGGACGCGGAGGAGACGGAGTCACGACGGCCCTCCCGGAAGGAAAAAACGACCTCCCGGAAGGAGGCGCGGCACGCGCGACAGTCCACGGGCTTCTTCCCGGAAGAGCGAAGACAACTTCCCGGAGGTGGATTTTAGCAGCCACGGATTGAGCAGCCCTTGCCCGGCTTCCGAGTGTAGAGAGCCCACGCTCCTTGAAGTGTGAGCGCAAGGCTCCCACTCGTGCTGGCAAAGATGCACTCGGCAGGTTGACAAGCGGACGTCCGCCTGAGTCTGGTGGAAGACTCCCCGATTCGTAGCTGGGTGCATGCGTGCCCTGCCTTGCTGCTGGTGGCCACGCTCAGACGTAGAATAGAATAGAACCCGAGCATTTTCTTTGGGTGGAGTGCAAAGGGTGAAATCTGAAGTGCCGTTTCGATGCATGTTCGAGGCTCGAATCTGCAAAAGGTGAATCACAAGACGGATTGATCTTCGAGGTGCAAAAGCCCATGGGGATCTCACCCCGAGCCCTCCACCCTGAGAGAATGCTCAGAGAACCCCTCTCGGCTCCTTCCCCTCGAGCTGCTTGCAAGACGCCAGCCCCCACCGCCGGGGCACCGGCAAGTGGGCCGCTCTCCGTGGAGCACGCGGCAGGGCCTTGCCAGACCAGGCCTTTGGGGTGGCCGCGGGGCCCGTGCAGCTGCATCGCCCACGACACCAGCAACGGCCGGCAGCGAGGGCCAGGGCACATCGGATACAGTGGGGGGGCGCATCAAAAACCCATATGCTTTTCTTCAGGGTATCCTGGGTTTCTTTGCTCCTCGCGCTGCGCGGTGACTTCCCGCGGCCGTTGAAGGCGCTGCTGCGTTCAGGGTGCTCCGGGTTTCCCCTCCGGTGCAGCTCGCGCGCGGGTTTTCAGGGTTGGGTTTCTTGAGAGGGTTTCTTGCGGCCGCGCCCGCACCTTACGCCAGTGTGGTGTTTCAGGTGTTGGGGCTTCGCGTTCGCCACGTGGTCGTCGTCGACACAGGCATCCAAACCACAAGACCTAATTTCGCATGTTGTTCCAGCCTACTGTAGCTTTGATCGCCAGAAGAATTTCGAGCACCAAAAGACCACCGAAACTGGAGGGTTTTCACGTGTCGGGCCATTGGAGGCGATACTCGTTCGACACTGTTTCAATATTTTTTTGCTGATGCTCGAAATTATTTCTGCGATGTGGTCCTTAAGTACAATGGGAGCAACATAGCACAAATGCTAACTAAGTCTTGCCAGTCGGGCACTTGTCGGTGAGGCGTGGGCGACGCATCGGCTGACCCCGTCGTAGCCGAAGCCTCACGGATGCGGCGCCTTCCCACCGGGGTAGTCAGTTGTTGTGACGATGGCATAGTCTCGGGCAACCTAGACCACTTCGCGTTGTGAAAAATCGTGACGGGAGGTTTTTCGCTATTTTCAGCCTCTGGGGGCTCTTACTAGGCCCCGGGGCCGTCAACAAAAACACTCAGGATGAGAAGCCGGCCAAGGGGAATGGGTCCAGACCTGTGCGGGTCGTCGTTGTGAAACAAATCTCTGCATCGGGAGTCTGGGAAGGTTTGCACGGGAGCTACCCGGGGCTTCTCGTGAGCGTATAGTGCGACTGGTATTTCTCAGGGCATGCCGATGATATTCCTCCCTCCTCCTCCTCCTCCTCCTCCTCCTCCTCCTCCTCCTCCTCCTCCTCCTCCCGACACGCTCACCTTGCGCGACCGCGCGACCCGCGCGCAGGCTGCGTTCGTTGCGTATCTGGATCCGTTCCCTGCGTTCGACGTAGGCCGGCCCGCACACCCGCGCGAGCGCGCGCGTTTACCCAGGAGGGGGGTCGACTAGACATAAGAGTGACCTTTCGCCAGAGTGACCTTCGGTGCGGGCCCACTGGGGCCCTCCGGTCGCCGAACGCGACGCGGTAGCAGCGGCTTGCGCGCCTCCAAGTCCCCCGTGAAGCCGCGCACCGAAGGTCCTTCGTGCCAAGGGTCACTCCTGCGTGTAGCCGAGGGGGCGGGACGGGAGAAGGAAGGACCACCGCTGCGATCAGGCGTGCAGGCCCAGCTCTTGCCGGGTGGGTGAGGCCGTGGCCTGTGGATTCTGGAGCGTTTGGGCACGGGCAGTGCAATACAGACCAAAAGTGGTGAGCAAGGGGGAGGAAGTCTCGGGCGAAACGCCCGGCCCGCCCTAACAACAGGCCTCGGGGTGCGACAGGGAGAAGTTTTTCAATCGCTTCGCTGATTCCGCTGGCCCATATTGCATGATCGCTACTGGTTCGCCGTGGGCTCGGGGCCATTGTGGCGCCGCCAAGGAGGAGGAAGATGCGGATGGGGAAGGGGAGGGGAGGAGGAGGAGGAGAGGATGAGAAGGAAAGGAGGAGGATGAAGATAAGTAGGAGGAGGAGGAGAAGGAGGAGGATGAGGAGGAAGAGGAGGGGCCGGAGGAGGAATCCTCTCGTTGGCATCTTGTGTTGCTCTTGAGGCCAAATTGGGTCGTCGACAAGATGCTTCTTTTGGAGGCCTCTTGGGGTCTTTTGAGAAGCCGTTCAGGGGCGCCTGGGAGGCATTTTTGAAGCCTTCTGGGGCCTCTTTTCGGCCTCCTGGGGGCCTCTTGGCGGCATCTTGGGGCCTGTTTGAGGCCTCTCGAGGGCCTCCTGGGGCCCTCTTGGGGCGGAAGGCTCGAGTTTTCGGTTCATGGTCCCCCTCTTGGGCCCCTCTTGGGGCCGTCTTGGGGCTCTCTTGGGCCGTCTTGGGCGCCTCTTGGGCCGTCTCGGGGCCCTCTTGGGCCCTATTGGAAGCCTCTTGGCCCGTCTTGGGGCGCTCTTGAGGGCCTCTTGGGCCGTCTTGGAGCATCGGAAAGCCGAAAAGGCGACTAGGCCAACATCCTTCCAACACCATCGTAAGATTAATGACTTCGGCCTCTCGGGCCCTCTTGTGAGGCCTCTTGGAGGCCCCTTGGAGGCCTCTTGGGCCGTCTTGGGGTCATCTTTTGCGTCTTAGGATGAGGAGCAGTGCAAACCCAAGAGTCATCAGCATCAACGATGTTGGAATGAACCTTGCCTCTTCATGGGCCTCTACAACGGTTCATTTCCACTGAGGGAACTGCCTCGTTGGATGACAACCGTTTGAAGACCCTGAAGCGTGCCAAAACATGTTGGAAGGCCAACACCACGGATCAACTTGACTGTTGCGTCTTGACGATTCTGAGTCGTGCCAGAACGACATTCTTGGCAATTCATCACCGCGAGTCAACGTAACTGTTGCACCCTCATAATCCAGAATCTTTCCAAGGCGCAATTTCTGGTACGCTGATCATGGGAACCCGTGAAACTCCGACAATTTGTTAGAACGAATGTGCGCGGCGTTGAGGCGAGAGCCGCATTTTGAAAAGGAACCGCTCTCGTTTGAAACAAAGGTGCGCGGCGCTAAGGCGAGAGCCACATGTTGAAAACGACTCGCCATCAATCCATGTAGCTCTTCCAGAATTTGAAACGGATGTGCACGGCGCTAAGGCGAGAGCCATATGTTGAAAGCGACCCGCCTTCAACCCGTGAAACTTGCACATGTTTAGAGCGAGTGTGCGCGGCGCTAAGGCGAGAGCCTCATTTTGAAAACCACCCACCCTCAATATGTGGAACTGCTGCCACTGGTTACGACTCAGGGGCATACATGGTGAGGAAGTCGAAGGCGAAACGCCCGGCCTGCCCTAAGAACAGGCCTCGGGGCGCGACATTGAGAAGTTAGTTATAAGGGGAAGGATGGAAGAGGAGCAGGAGGTGGAGGAGGAGGAGGAGGAGGAGGAGGAGGAGGAGGAGGAGGAGAGGGTGCGGGAGAAGGGGGGAGGGAGGGAGAGGGAGAATAGGAGGAGGAAGAGCTACCGATACAGCTGCTCGTCCTGGAGAGCTCTGGTCGCCGCGTCTGGATTCTCTTCTGAAGTCTGGTCAGAACGCACCCCTGAGAAGAGGCCCAGGGAGTCACAGCATCGGCAGCGTCTGTCCCCCCAGAGAGGGGGAGTTGAGGGGGGTGACGGGGTGAAGAGGCGGGAGGGAAAGGGGCCGGGGGGGGGGAAGGGAGGGAGGGAGGGAGGGAGGGAAGATGGATGGAGGGAGGGAGGGATGGGGAAAAGGGGGTTGGCGGAATGGATTACCCTAAAACCCCCCCGCCCCTTCGACCGCCTGTTATTCTCCTCTCTTCTTTTCCCGGTCGGAGCACAAAGGGAGGATGAGGAGTAGAAGGCTGCGTTCGACGAAGACGTGGGGGAGGAGTGAGAGGAGGTGGAGGAGGAGGAGAAGGAGGAGCAAGAGGAGGAGGAGGACAAGGAGGAGGAGGAGGAGGAGCAGGAGCAGGAGGAAGAGGAAGAGGGAGAGGAGGAGGAGGAGGCTGACACCGACGGCAGCGTCGGTGACGACAGCGGCGGCGGGGACGTTCACGGCCACGGCGGCGACCACCACGGCGACTGCGACGGCCATGACGATGACGAGGGCGGGCCCGCCCCGCCGAGCTGCAGGCCAGCGCGTCATGTACTGGCGGGAGGCCGCCTGCTCCCCCTGGCCGCTGCCTGCCGGCCACGAGGGTGGAGAGCTGCTGATGCCCCCGCCCTGCCCCGCCCCCCTCGCGTCCCTCCCCCAAGCTCGAGTTTGGAGGTTCCAGTCTACCTTCGCGTGGATCACCAGCGAGGCTCTCGAGCACCAAGGCAGCACCAAGACTGGAGGGTGTTCACGTGTCTGGCCCCGCGAGGCGATGCTCGCTCGGCTCTTCGCTGGCGCGTCGTGCAGGCACTCCCTGCATGCCTCCCACCTTTTCTCTGAAACCCTCTTCACCGTTCTCCCCCCTCACATGTTCCTCCTCCACCCCTGTATTCATCGGCGTTGCTCCCTTCTCCTCCGGGACCTTGTCACCCCCCTCCTCCTCACCCCCGCGGCGGGGGGGCCGCTCTGCGGGAAACTGTGTCCTGGTGCTCGGCCCTATGCCGTGGGGACACTGACAATGCCATGAACGCTGCACGGCTTGGTGTCAGCATGCCGGCTCATCTTTTTGGGCCCCGCCCCGCGGCACCTTGCCCGGGGCCGTGGCGCTCAGCTGCGCCCGTGACGTTGGAACCTCCTTGAGCTTCCAGGCGCGGGGAGCGTGCACTTGGTGGAGTGGCGGAGCCGTGTGGCCTGTCAGTCCTATCGGGCTCTCATGCCTATTCGCCGTGGGGGTTTGGGCTGGGGTTGATAGTCGAGAGAGACCGCACGGTGAGGAGGTGAACCGACCGTCCCCGTACGCACCACCAACATCACGTACGAATAGCGAGCCACAGGGCGACAAGGTGCTGACCTGTACTTCGACCGTGTTGCGTGGCGTCCTCGCCGATGAGCGAACGGCCTCCCCTGCACGCGAGGAGGGAGGCCTCACCGCGTGGGGGCGGAAGGCGGCCCATTTGGCGATGAGGCAGTACCCTATGCAAGGTTGTCTTGTCGCGTAATTTCGATCCTTTGTTCCCCATGGCTCCTTGGATCCCCTCCTCCCCACCTTCCTCCTCCACCTCATTACCGTCATTCTCCCCATCATCGCCAACATCAGCACATTTACCTGTATGTTTCACAATCGCACTCATCAGCATCATCACCCTCCTGAGCATCATTGTCAGCATCATCATCAGCACCTACATCAACCTCAAGAACGACATCAGCATCATCATCAGCATCATCGTCCTCCTCGTCGTCGTCGTTGTCATCGTCATTATCATCGTCATCATCATTGTCATAGTCAGGTCGCTGGCGGGACTCCCGCCTGGCCGCTGGCGGCCGACCCCAGCCCATTAGCGTGGGCTTGACCTCCAACCGCCATGGGAAGGTCCGCGCATGGCGCGAAAATGCCACGCACTTGTGATTTACAATGCGTGCCCATTGTAGATGTACTTGCTTCTGATTACATTACACAGATACACAATGCCGAGGCCGCGTTGTGCCTTCCAGGAGGAGGTCGGGGTACCTGATGTCGAGCGTGCTTTTTGCAATCCACTCTGCATGTGTGTGCGAGGCGGCAGAAGGGTCCATAGCGCTGTACGCCCGCCCGCATTGAAGCTGACTCGACGCACCGTTGGTCCTTTCAGTCTTCTCCTGGTCTCCTCATGTTCCTCTGTATCCCTTCTTCACTCCACCCGACTGCGAGGCTATTGCAGCGAGGTTGGCCACTGATGTAACCCATCTATCGCAGGACAGCATCTCCATGCGGCCGGACGCTCTAGTCCCACTCGTGCGCACGACGTTTGGGGTAACTCAGTGGTTTCACGGATGCGTCGCCGATCTTGTCATTGTGTTGTTGTGCCAGCTTCCCCTCCCTTCCAAAATTGCCGGTCACCAAAAATCATTGTCACCATGGTCATCCTTATAGTACCAACACCAACACAAACCTTCTCATTTTCCTTCATCAGCATCTTCATCCCCATGGGCAGCAGCAGCATCGTTCCAATCGTAACCCGCCTTTTCGTTCGCATCCTCAGCATCCTCCTCCGCCTCCTGTTCATTCAACTCGCCGTTGGTACCAAGTCACCTTGCACACGCGGGGGCCAAGACAGAATAAAGATTTGGACCACTCACACAACGGCTCGCTGGTTTGGGCACACCGCCAGCCCAGACGCCTCCTCACCACCTTTTCCCACGCCCTCGTCAACCCCAAGGCTTACTGCTGATCCCGCCCGTGCAGTTGGTGATGGTACCCGCCCCCCTCCCCCCTGGACGGGGGCGGGTAGCATCAGCAAAAACAGTTGTTCGCCTCCTCCTGCAGTTGTCCTGCGGATGGTGTTCTCGGGGAGGAGGAGGAGGAGGAGGAGGAGGAGGAGGAGGAGGAGGACGAGGACGAGGAGGACGAGGAGGACGAGGAGGAGAAGGAGGCCGAGGAGGAGGAGGCCGAGGAGGAGGAGGAGGAGGAGGAGGAAGAGGAGAAGGAGGAGAAGGAGGAGCAAATGATCGGGGCTGGGTCCCGCGGGGCAGTCCTCCAAGGCCCCTCGGCGAAGAGGGAATCCGTGCTTCGGTGCGGATCGTAAGCGCGCCTCGTCTCCGTCGTCGTCGTCGTCGGCGTCGTCGTGGTCGTGGTGCGTGTTGCTCTGCTCGGGATTCTGTTTCCCTTATGCAGTGACCACCTCCACCACCCACCACCTCCTCCTCATCGTCCTCCTCCTCCCCTTCCTGCTCTTCTTCCTCCTCCTCACCCTCCTGCTCTTTCTTCTCCTCCTATTCTTTCTTCTCCTCCTCCTCATCCTCCTCCTACCCCCCTCTCATGGGGCATCGCTGGAGGAGGGGGGGGCGGATATGGTCGGGATTGATCATATTGCGTGTTGTTCCGCCGGTTCTGGCCCACCACGCTGCGGCGCCGCACGTTATCCTTTCCGCGGGTCCGAGCATCCACGTGCGGGCCTTTGCCTAGCCTCCCGCCCTGCGGAGCGGAGCGACACGCTATCCGCTTGCAAGGGATGGCGTGTAGGTGGGGCCGCCGTGGCGACACGCTATCCCGAAGTCCCCGTTCATAGGCTCAGGGGGGGGACGCATCGACCCCCAATCGCCCATTGATCGCCGATACGGGCCCGATCGCCCATCCCGCCCAGGACCGTGCGGTCCTGCTATTTGGGGCCTATCACCGAGGATGGCGATGTATCGCCGATTACAGGTCGATGCTTCCTCGCTTGAGCCTGTGCTCCCACAGCCTTGCCCCTCACCCGCCCCAACTGCCCCGAGCGCTGCCAGGGCGCCTGGAGATTCGCATCCGTGGTGCGCAAGCGCCTGGAGCCGCAGCAGGAGGCGCGAGACTGGGGAGCGGAAGATGTCGGGGTGCGTCCAAGATGAGAGGAGGAACAGGTATCGATACCGATACCCCTCCTTCTTTTTCCCCTTTTGGAGCTTCCTGGGTGGCCCTCGTCGCCACTGCTAGATTCGCTTCGAAATTGTAGTCGGAACGCACCCTGGACCTCGCGGTATCGGTGACCTTTTGGTCTCCCTGCAGAAGTTTTGGTCGTCGAATGGGGAGGGGGTCGCGTGATTCCAGTTTTTGCTTTGAGGTTGTTTTCGTATCCACTTGATGGATTCCTAGGCCAGGGCGGTGCTGCTAGCAGCAGTGGGTGTTCAAAGAGCGACGCTCCAGCCAAATCCATCAGTGCCTGAAGAATAAAAAACGAGCTGCCTGAAGCGGCCGTCTGGACCTCGTAAGGGTCTGGCGGCCCGTGGGGGCCTCCCTGGAAATCCAGGAGGCACCTTGGGCCAGACGTACCTCCAGCAACACCCGACATCTGGCAGGGCCCTTTTCGATTTCTCCGACTCGATTCGCTTGGATTTCCATGGCTTCCGACTCCGGTTCCTGTCTCCGCCGATTCGACCTTTCCCCTTTTCGGCTGCCGATTTCCGCCAGTCCGGTTCCTTTCGATCGCCGAGCCGACCTGCCGAGTCTATTCTGGGCTCTCCTGCCGCGCGGGCTCCCCCCCCCCCGGCGGCGCCAGGGGCGCCGCCCCCCTGACGCGCTCCGCGCGCCAGGGAGTGGGGGTCCAGCGCGGCTCCGAGCAATCCGCACGGGCCGCCAGAAGTTTCTGTTGATGGCTTCTTCTTTGTATATTCTTAGAAGCTGGGAGGCAGTCACAGAAGCTCCACGCCTTCTCCTCAGGCCTCCAAGATGGGGCTGGAGCAGATGGGGTCGGAGGATCGCCAGAAGTTTCTGTTTATGGTTTCTTCCTTGTATTCTTAGAATCGGGGGTGGACAGAACCCCCAACAGTGACACGTCGATTCGTTAATTGTCCGTTTTCGGTTCTCGAGGGGGCGCCGTGGCCGTGATTTTCCAGGCCTGCGCCCGCCAGGTCTGGGCCCGAGGTCGTTTTCACTGAACCACGTTTTACTAAAGGGAGGTCTGTCCATCCCCGATAGAAGCTGAGAGGCAGTCACAGCAGCTCCACGCCTTCTCCTCAGGCCTCCCAGATGGGGTCGGAGCAGATGGGGTCGGAGGATCGCGCCGCATCGCCGATGCGTCGCCGATGCGGCTCGATGTGGGGCCCGACTTGCTGCACGTCTACGACGCCGATGCCTCGCCGACGTCGACGATGCATCGCCGGTGCGTCGCCGATGCATCGCCGATGTATCGGCGATGCGGCGCGATCCTCCGACCCCATCTACTCGGACCCCATCTGGGAGGCCTCTGTGCTCGTTGGCCCATCGTCTTTTTCAGAAGGCTGCCTCCCGGGCGGCCACCCCCGCGTGCGCGCCGCGTGCTCTCAGCAGGTACACGGCGCAGGCAGGCCGCGAGGTCGTACAAATTGTTCGTTTCCAATTATTCGAAGATTCCTTTATTTTTTGGGGGCCAAGATCCGTGCATTTCTAATTGTTCTATCCTGGGCCTCTTCCTGGCCACTAGGGGGCCAGGAACAGTTAGAAACGAGCACAATTCGAAATGAGCACGATTAGAAATGAACGACGTGTAGGCATCAGCACAAAGCAAGCATATCCTGGCGGCCAGGAACATATGGGCAAGCGTCAGCGGGGGGTTCAGAACGGCGCACGCCTGGGGTCCTACAGGGCGCCTTTGGGGGTCCCAGGGTGAGAAAGTCCAGGGTTTGCCAGGGTCTCGTTTCCTTTCAGAACAGCCGACACCCTCCATTATCCCTTCGGAAACCCTTTGGGAAGGGTTCCGGGAGGGTCTTTAGAGGGTTCCGGGGGGGGGGGAGGAAGGGTTCTCGTCGCTTGAAAGGGGGAGCCCCGTCCCTAGCGAACCCTGGGCTTTCCAGTTTCAGGGGCCCCTGTGGGGGCACCTTCGGGGCCACCTCGCCCGCAGTCCTCGACGGTCCCCAGTGCGTCTGTGTTGCCGACCCACGTGGCCGTGGCCGCCCGAGCGTAAGGCGGGGGAGCAGGAGCAGGAGGCGCCTCGGCTGGGGAGCGCGGGCGCCAGGGCGCAGAGCGGCGTTCTGGCGATGATGTTGTCGTTTGGCGAGGATTCAGGCGTTCCTCCTCCTCCCCCTCCTCCCCCTCCTCCTCCTCCTCCCCCTCCTCCCTCCTCCCTCCTCCCTCCTCCCTCCTCCCTCCTCCTCTTCCTCCTCCTCCTCCTCCTCCTCCTCCTCCTCCTCCTCCTCCTCCTCCTCCCTCCTCCTCATTGTTGTTCCGTTGTGCTGCGTGGCGATGTCGTGGGCCGCTCTCGTGCTGAGATCCTTCTGCCGCAGGGCAAGAGCCAAGGCAGAGCGAGGGCAGGAGCCTCGAGGAAGAAACGCCACAAGCCGGAACTTTCGGCGCTCCGCGCAGATCGGGAGCCTCGAGACGGGGGTCAACGCAAACGGGGGTCAGCCAGGGCACCAGATCCTGCAGGATCCTGCGAAGACCCCCTCTGGCTGACCCGGGTTAGGGAGCCGCTCGTGGCCGCGGGGCGGCCGCGCGTATTGGCTGACCCGGGTTTGCGAAGACTTGCGTTGCAGTTTTTTTGTTCCTGCATTGCAGTTTTTGGTTTCCCGCTGACCCGGGTCTGGATTGACCCGGGTCAGAAGATCCCCGACGCAGACTTCTTGGATCTGCGCTGGGGCCCCCTGGCAGCGCCTCCGGCGCCGCTCCTGGCGATATCCGCGCTCCGGTGAGGGGTGCCCAGCGCAGACCCAAGAACCGTCGAAAGTTTAGTTCTGTTTATGTGTGTTGTTCTCTTCCTCTCGAACCGAGCACAGCGCTGCTTGGCCTGGCTCTGGCCCATGATATGTTTTTTTCGCTCCGTTTTCCGGAACTGTTCTGCTGTGTTCCGTTTCGGTGTCGCTTTCGTGTGGCACCAGCTTCGTTCTTAACGTTAGTTTGAAGCATTTGGTGTCGTTTCGTGTTTCGCTCTGAGCGCCAACGCACGTATCGTCGTCTTCGGTCGCTGGACGAGGGGCCACTCGAATACAGAGCGAGATCGGATAACACTGTTCAGCTCTCGGAGGGGCTCGACGTATACACAACGTCGTTGGGATGGCCAGGGAGGCAAGGAGTTCGGCGAAAGGAGCTCGGTGCACAGACGCTCCAGGCTCCCACGGGGCGGGCAGCTGGGGCGTCTCTACACCGAGCTCCCTGGCCGACCAGCTGACGTGGTGTGTGTATAAAAGTATAAATGCGTACATACACGCATACATGTGAAGATATAGATATATCGAGCCCTGTCGCACAGATTTTGAGCATGCAAGCAGCACCAGTCTCACCAGTTGTTGTCTTCCTCCTCCGTCTTTGTCCTTCTGACCGTCTTTGCGCGAGCTGCTTTAAGCAAAGCCTCACCGACGCTTGGTGCCCAAATGGTGTTCCGCTCTGTTGCGATTGATGGAGGGTAGGTCGGATTTGGGATACATATATGTATATCCACACACGAGTAAACATACATACATGTATATATATGTAGGGGGGACACAAATGTGTTTACATATATACATGTATACACATATATTTGTGTGTATGCGTAATCGAGCCCCATCCCAAGCTCGCGCCCGTAGTCAGGCCACATCCAGCAGGCTCGGTGGCGACAGCGGCGGCGGCAGCGCCAGCGGTCCGGGGCGGCGACGGCGGCGGCGGCGGCAAATGCGTGACGCCGCCCAGAGGCGCGCGGCCGCGGGCGCGTCCGCGGGCCCACGGCGGCCGCGGCGGCCACAGGACGCCGCCCTCTCCGCGCGGGTCGGGCCGCGCGGGAGGGAGGCGGGAGGAGGCGGAAGAGGAGGGCGGCCCAAAAAAACAACGAATCGGCACCGAATGTATAATCATTTGCGATGTTTTGTGTCATGGGGTCATTTTCTAGATTTTGGGAATTATTCAGAAGGACCGAAAACCATGCCGTGGCATGGCGCTGGACAAAACGACGCCAGTGCTGCAGCGGAAACGCGGAAACACGATTCGGAACGAGCGGAAGCGTGGAAATGAGGCCAGCGCTGCAGCGGGAGCACGATCCGGAACGAGCAGAAGCCCGAACATGAGGCCAGCGCTTCAGCGGGAGCAGCATTTCGAACAACAGCTCAAGCGAAAACCCTGTTCTTGGGAATCCTGAGTGTAAAGAACAGTACGCGGAGGTGGGTCGGATTTGTTCTGGACGTCATCAGGGGAGAGGGATGAGTAGTATTCATATGGTGCAATTGTGGAGGAGGAGGAAGTGGAGGGTGAGAGAAGAGGCGGGATAATTCACGGTGAAGATTAGGGAGAGGAGGAGCAAGAGAAAGAGGATGGAATGATGGAATGATGGAGGTGGATGGAGAGGGATGGGCAGGAAGGAGGGAAGAGGAACGAGTAAGGGAGCAGGAGGAACAAACAGGATCAGGGAGGGATCGAGGAGGAAATTCAGGTGGGCGAAGGCGGGGCAGATGGACACCGAGGACGGCGAGGAGGAGTCGAAAGAGTGGGTGGGGCAGGGTGAGGTGGAGTTGGAGGGGGAATGATAGTGAGTGGCCAGGCGTGAGGAGTGTGAACTGAAGAGCTTGGGAGCTCTCTTTTTGACCACGGACTGCAGAGCAGAGGGGAGCGTGAGACTTGCCCGTGCATCCGCTCCGCGAACGAGCCGAGAAGAGATGCAGAAGCATAGTCGGAGGAGGAGGAGGATGACCGGGAGGAGGAGGAGGAGGAGGAGGAGGAGGAGGAAAGGGAGGAGGAGGAGGGAGGAGGGAGGAGGAGGGAGGGAGGAGGAGGAGGAGGAGGAGGAGGAGGAGGAGGAGGAGGGCCGCGGGCGCCGCCGGGGCCTCCGAGGGCACCGCGGGCGCCCGACGGAGCGGCAGCGGCGGGGCCTCCGAGGGCGCCGGGGGGAGGGGGCGGGAGGGGGCCGCCGCGCGCAGATCCGCCCGGGCGCGTCGTCTACGACCTCGACGTGGAAGTCGACGGCAGGGCACGGGGCGGGGGGGTGGCCCGGAGAGCCGGCGCTCCAAGGGAGAGGGGAGCGGAGAAGGGCACGAGGCACAACAGCTCGGAGGTGCGCGCGGGTTTCTCGGATCGGCGCTGGGGCCCCCCTGGGATGAAGGCGGGCACGTTCCTTTGCTTATGATGCTCCGACCTGCTTCAGCCTTGATCGCCACATTGAATTTCGAGCACCAAGGAAACACCAAAACGGGAGGGTTTTCACGTGTCGGGCCCTTGGAGGCGATACTCGTTCCACGTTGTTTCGATTCTTTTCTGAGTGATCGAAATGATTTCTGGGATGTGGTCCGTAAGTACGGTGGGAACAACACAACCCTTTACAGGAGGAGTATTCCCAAACAGGTTCAAAACATAGTCTGGGGACGAATTGTGGAGCATTTTTTTGCAGTCTTTGAGTAGTGTGTGACGATTGTCAATTTTTCAGCCAAAAGCCGCCTGTAAGGGAACATGCCCGACCTAACCCCAAGGCCCGACGCTCCAATAGAGTTGCAGCGGGCGGTCTGGGGCCGTAGTCGGCCGCTGGGGGCCCCTCGTTGGGCCTCGGGAGTTTCAACCAAACGGCCCAGGCGAAGAAGCCGGCCCCCTATATAGGGAAGTGGTCCCGACCTCGAGGGCCCACGCATCGGTGAAAGCCCCCAAACGGGGTGGTGACCACACCGTGTGGTGGGTCGGTGGGGATTCGGGGTCACCGCACGGTTCTGGTACTCGGGCCGTTCTCCGAGGACGTCTCGGGCGACCGGGGCATCCGAGTTCCCAAAACCGTGCGTTGACGGACCGTGCGGTGAGGTCTTGGGGGGGTTCGAGGCAACCGCACGGTCTGTCACCGCACCGTTTCGGGACTCCAAGAAGAAGGGAGCAGCTGGATGCCTGGGCCCCCGCGTCGTCAAGCCAATCGCCCTCGCGTCGCGAACAGATCGCGTCGCGGCGCGAATGGCGGTGCAGTCGCGCTGCCCTCTCCCCCCAGCAGGAAGCGCGGCTGCGCGGCATGTTGCTGTTCTTCGGGCTTGAGGGGGTCCCTCGCTCGGCCTCGGGACCGTCAAGAGTCGGCTCAGGGTGAAGAGCCGGCTCCAGGGAAGCGGTGGAGGCCTCTGGGGGCCGACGCCCTGACACTCAGCGGCATCCATTGGCCTCCTCCTCTTCGTCCTCCTCCGCGTCTTGCTGCCGCTCCTCCTCCTCCTCCTCCTCCTCCTCCTCCTCCTTCATCCTGCTCCCGTTCGCCGACGGCCGTGCTGTTTTCCCCTCTCTCTTCTTTCTTTCCCCTCACCCCGCTGGTCCCGTCCTCCTCTGGGGGGCGGTTCAGCTGGCTGCTGAGCAGTTGCAGTGGTGTTGCGGCGCGGGTCCCGCCTGTGTCTTGTGGCAGTCCCGTTCGGGGCTGCGTGCGTGCCTGCAGACGGGGACGGGAGCAGAGGAGGGGGAGGGAGGGGGGTGCAAAGGTCGAGGTGCAGGAGCAGAAGTAAGGTGGCGACAGGACGAGAACGACTTGGGGAGCGGATCGAGGTCCGCCGAATATCGGAAAAGGAAGACCTGTGTGCGTGTGTCTCCAGGTAGCCCCATCATCTGAGGGCGTTCGTGAAGGGATGTGCCCATGAGGCTCCAGACCCTGGGTGATTCTTGATCTGATGAGGGCGGTGGTGGTACAGTCGGACTGGGGTATAATATCGAGGTCTATCCGTAAGGGCTTCGCCCCCTGCCGCCGGCCCCCTCTCTCGGAGAATGGGCCATGGAAGAGCTAAATTATGAGGTCTGGGCGCCGCCGTGAAGCAGTGTCGGGACATGTTTGTTTTTCGACCCTGACTGACCCTACGGATCTGCGTCACGGGTGCCACCGAATTTCAGAAATGTGGCAATTCCCATGTGTTTTTGTACCTTGGCCCCGCCGATCTGCGTCACGGGCGCCACCGAATTCCAGACATGTGGCAAATCCCATGTGTTTTTGGACCCTGACCCTGCCGATCTGCGTGAGGGGTGCCACCCGATTTCAGAAATGTAGCGAATCCCGTGTGTTTTTGGACTCTGACCCCGCCGATATGCGTGAGGGGTGCCAGCAAATCTCAGAAATGTGGCAAATCCCTTGTGTGTTTTTGACCCTGACCCAGCCGATATGCATGAGGGGTGCCACCGGATTTCAGAAATGTGGCAAATCCTTGTATGTTTTTTTGCACCCTGACCCCGCCGATCTGCGTCACGGGTGCCACCGAATGTTAGAAATGTAGCAATGTTAGAAATGTAGCAAATCTGTATGTTTTTGGACCCTGACCCCGCCGATCTGCGTGAGGGGTGCCACCAGATTTCAGACATGTCGCAAATCCCATTTGTTTTTGGACCCTGACTCCGCCGGTCTGCGTGAGGGGTGTTAGCAAATTTCAAAAATATTGGCGATTTGCGTGAGGGGTGCAGCAAATTTCAGATATGTGGCAAATCCCATGTGGTTTTGGATCCAGACCCCGCCGATATGCGTGAGGGGTGCCACCGGAATCCAGACATGTGGCAAATCCTTTGTGTTTTTGGACCCTGACCCCGCCGATATGCGTGAGGGGTGCCATCGGAATCCAGACATGTGGCAAATCCTTTGTGTTTTTGGACCCTGACTCGCCGATATGCGTAAGGGGTGCCACCAGATTTCAGAAATGTGGCGAATCCCTTATGTTTTTGGACCCTGACCTCGCCGATCTGCGTGAGGGGTGTCGATTTTTAGCCACCCCAGCAATTCAGACAATATGTCGGGCGTGGTAAAAATACACGTTTTGGGCCTCCCCCCCTCGCGCGGTCCATCAACAAGGAACAATAAGCAGCAAGGGGTCAACAAGGAACAGTGATCAGCAATAAACGAAATTATAACAGTGGAAACTGGAAGCTGCAACTGGCACAGGAAACTGCAAATGGGGGCCCCACAAGGGGGCCGGCGGATTCGGGGAGGGTGCCCTGAAACTCTTCGTGTTTGTTGGGCGTTCTTGCGCATCCTGGGGGGGGCTCTTGTGTATTCTCTGTGTTTTGGGCGGCGGAAGGTCTCATGTTCGTGAGGCCCGTTTAAGGTGGTCACGATTCGCCTCCCGCTTGGCCGTCCCGCTGGCGGGATGCGATTTTCCGCGCGGGAGGGCGGGGCGCACGCCGACGCGCGCGCGCGCCAGCCTTCGCGCCGCCACGCGAGAGGGCCAGCAGCTGCTCCCCCCGCACTGACCCGTAGGGACTCGCATTCGCAAGGTAGCGAGCCTCTTGCACGGGGCCTCTTCGGAGTTCGCTCATTAGAGCATCGGGGTGCGCCTCCTGCTGGCCCCATTGGACGTCTGGGTCTGCGGCAAATTCCATCCGCAGGGGATTTCGCAAGTCGTACCCCACGGCTCCTTGGCGGGCGTTTCGACGTTGACCCGCTCATACGGATATCCTGTCTTGTCCTTCTCCTCCTCGTCTTCCTCCCGCTCATCCCTTTCGTCTTTCTCCCGCAGGTGATTCTGCCCTCGCTGTTTTGCCGAATTCGCTGGCCAGGGCTCCTCCTTGCTCTGCGCCGTGCCATGGTGCGCGGTGCCCTCATTGGTGGCCGCGATATGCCCGCTGGCCCCGTGGTAGCCGCCCAGCACTCTGATTGTTTGTGCACGCGGCGGGATGGACGCATTCGCAGTTTGCATGCGAGGGTGGGAGGGCAGTATGCCTGCGGATGCCGTGCGCCAGCCCTTTCCTCCAACGCAGTATGCCTGCATGTGCGGCTGTATGCCTGCGCGTGAGCGCCGCATGCCGGCCCTTGCGCGCAGTGTAACTGCTGGTGCCGTACGCCGGCCGTCATCCCCTGCGCAGCATGCCTGCGAGTACCGCATGCCGGCCTCTTCGCTTTCCTTTGCGCACTGTGCCGGCATGGGCGGCGGCGCGCCTGCCAGCGATCGCCGCGCGCTGGCCCAAAAGGCCAGCGCACCTGCGGATGCCGTGCGCCAGCTGCCATTCCCCCGCGCAGCATTCCATTGTCCTTGGCGTAGTGTACCTGCACGCGCTTCTGCACGCCTGCGAGTTCGCCGCATGTTGCGCGCAGTTTGCCTGCGGATGCCGTGCGCCGACCCCCCTTCCATCTGTGCAGCATTCCTGCAGGTGGGGCAGTCAGATTGCGAGCGAACTCCGCGTGCCGGCCCCGGTGCGCAGCGTGCCTGCGAATGCTGTCTGCCAGCCGTGGTGCGCAGCATGCTTGCGGCTTGCGCATGCCAGCCTCCCTGCGCAACGCGCCCGCGGGTCATGTCACGCGCGCCCGCCAGCGAGCGCGGAGGATGCCGAGGGGGGTGTGCGCGGCGCGCCCCGACGCGCGCGCGGCGTCCATGGCGCTGTCTCGCCCAGACATTGTGGAGTTGCCTGGCAATCTGCCCGCCGGTGCATTCGGCACCGACGACGCCGCCGCCAGGGCGCGCGTGCGCGTCTCCGCGCGACTACCGCGGACATGAGCCTGCTTGCAGCGGCGCGCAAGACCGATTGCGCCCTCGTTGTCGCAGAGGCCAACTCAGTGGAGGGGGGGGGGCATCGCAGCACCCCGAGCTGGCGCCGCCACCACGGTCGCGCGCCTGATGGCCGAGCCGGTCGGGGCGGTCCAACCGACTGGTTTCTCAGATGCGGCCATGCGCGATACGTTGACTGCGGCCCTGAAGCCGGGCGCAAGGCCGTCTGCGGACGATGGGCCCGCGGAGTGGCGCGACTTCATCATTAGACCGCGCCCCGTCAATGCGGCGCTGCGCGCGCAGTCGAGAATGCCGGAAGCCTTCTGGCGGAAGGCCCCCCGCCCCGACCGCTTGCAAGGGCGCGGGCCGCCGGCGGCGCGGCGCCAGGAGCGGCGCCAGTCGGTTTCGGCGGAGGCGACCGCCAAGCTCGCGGAGGAGACGACGCGGATTGCAGCGGCGATGGAAGAACGCGCGAAGGCCAGCAAGGACTTGCACGAAGACAAGAAAGAAAAAGCCGCTGGCATTTGCCATGGAGGCTCGCCGCGATCCGCACAGGTCTGGCTCGGCAATTTCCCCCGCGAGGGGTTGCCGACCGAAGAGTCGATGCGCAAATTCGCGGCCGCGGGCCGGGCGGCCCAGGCCGGGGGTCGCTCGCGCATCGGGAGCGCCGAGGGCGAGAGCCTGCAGGCCTCCCAGTTCGGCGACGCGCGTGACGGCAGGCCTCTGTTTCGCTGATCGATCCGGGCGCAGGTCCATCGCAAGCGCCAGTGGGCGCGGGCGCCGAAGCTGGAGTCGGCGCCAGCGGGGGCGGGCTCGTGGCGCGATCACGCGTCGGCCGTCGCCGCGGCGAACCGCGCGGGCGCATCCCTGGGCCGAAGCATTTTCGCGGTTGCGCGCTTCCAGGTCGCGCGCGACGCGACGCAGCGCGCGCGCCTGCGCGCGCCCAGTGACGCGAGGCCCATGCTAAGGAGTGGGGGCTTTGCTGCGTCCAGTCCAAAGGTTTGGATCCGTTCGTCGTGCTCTCGGGGCGCGCGCATCAGCTCGCGCGCGTGAGCGAAGAGTGCGGGGGCGCCATGGCGTGGCCGCGGAGCTTCGGGCCCGCTGTCTGGGGAGCTGTGCGCGCGGGCCCTCGCCGCGACCAGGTACCCCGCGCCTGCGGCTTGCTTCTCCGCGAGAAAATGGCAAGCGATCTCGACCGCGGCGACGAGGCCGCGACGGCCTCTTTCACTACGTTGTCGCGGGACATCCCGCACGCCGCCAAGGCGCGCGGCGCTTCTGGCGGCGGCCGCGCGGACAACGCGCATCGCGCTGTCCGCCGTAGGAGAGAGTTCAGCAGTCGGACCGCCAGACGGCGATCGCCAAGGGCGGGGGCGAGAAAGGCGGCAGCGACCGGCGCGACCAGGCGCGCGCCCGCGCGCGCGCGCCCTGCGCGCGCGCTCATCACGGCGCGCGAGGCGGCGAGGCCCGGGCCACGGGCCCCGGGGCCCTGTCCGCCAGCTCTCGCGCGGCCCGCACCGCGACCCGCTCGGCAAGCCCAGCGGCAAGGGGAACGGCAAGGCCGGCAAAGGCGGAGCCCCCAAGGGCGCGGGGAGTTTGTGGAAAAAGCCTGAGAGGAAGGGGGCCTGGAGGTGATGAAGCCAGGACGTCGGCGCTCTGCAGGCGAATTATCTTTTCGCCCAAGGCGCAATCCGCGGGCGCGTCCGTGGGGATGCCGCGCCGCCAGTTGCGCGGGCGACGGGGCCTCCCCATGGCATCCTGCCGACAGCGGTGAGGGCGCAGCGTGGCGCGGGCCGTCGCCCGAGAGGCAGGGGGCGCCGCGCGCGCGCGCCGCGGGCGGAACCGCCCCGCCCATGGCGAACGCAGCGCAGGACGCGGATGGCGATTCCGCCGACGACGTCGGAGGCGGGGGCGGCGACCTGTGCCCCCAGCTATTCGACGCCAGCTGCGCATTTGAAGAGGCCCTCGCCCGCCACAATGCGAGGCCGGCGTGGAAGCGTTGCTCGACGACGAAGACAAGAGGGCAGGCGTTCGCGAAGGGATGTGCCCATGAGGCTCCAGACCCTGGTTGATTCCTGATCTGATGAGGGTGGTGGTGGCACAGTTGGACCGGGGTATGCGATCGAGGTCTATTCGGGGAGGGTGGCCTAATGCTGTTCGTGTTTGTTGGACATTATTGTGCATCCTGGCGGGGGCCCTTGGATATTCTCTGTGTGTTTTGGCCGACGGGGGGCCTCATGTTCGTGAGGGGCGCTCTCTTGGCCTGGGTCCGACTGCATCCATAGCCGAACCGCAGTTGGTGTTCCACCAGTTCCCACACCCCAGATGCTTTATCCAGAGACAGTTTGCCTGACGCCCTCGCCGTAGCCCTCCTCCCCCCCGGCCGCTCTCCGAGGTTCGGGCCGCCCGCGGCAGCGGCCCCGTGCGGCGCGCCCGCGCCTTGATTCCGGCTGTCCATCCTCCTCCCTCCTCCTCGTTCCTCCTCTTCCCCCTCCCTCTCCTCCTCCTCCTCCTTCTCCTTCTCTTCCTCCTCCTCCTCCTCCTCCTCCTGTTCCTCCTCCTCCTCCTGCCCCTGCTCCTCCTCATCCTCCTCGTTCCTTCTCCTCCTCCTCCTCGCCTCCTCCTCCTCCTCCTCCTCCTCCTCCTCATCATCATCATCATCATCATCCTTTTCTCCTCCTCCTCCCACTTCTCCTCCCCCCCGTGGTCCGGAGCCGTTTTGGTTCAAGATCCAAGGATGTCGGGTGAGTCAAGTGGATGCCGCTGTTCCGCGGCAGCTCTCAACGTTCCCAAGGGGTGACGATCCCGTCGGCGACCCGACGGTGCAGGTCCCTTCCCTCTCCCAGTCTTTCCCCCTTTCCCAGTCATGGGGCGTGCGCCGCGGGTCATTCTCAAGCCGCGGGTCCAGTGGCACGACTAGACACCAGTGCGCGCCAGGAGCAGGCGCAAGGAATCCTATGCCACG